TCCAGCTCTACATCTTGTTATCTCTGCTAAGTAGAAGTGATGAGTTTTGTTTCAAAAATATATCAATCTACTCAGATGAGATATAAGACCCAGATTTTCCAAACTTTGATGCTCTGAGAGCAAATCGCCACTGATTTGCTGCTTGGTAAACCCAATATATTTTACACACTAAAGTGGACCAATTGGTTTTGTAAATTCACCAATACATTAACTGTGCATGATGTAAAAGACATGGAAATTACAGAGTTCCACAAGAAGGAAATTGTTGTCTGATAACTCCATATTAGAACACCAAGTATTGGTCCCAAAATGATTAAATTGAGGGGTCGGGGAGGGGTAATGGAGAGAAAAGCAAGTGAAAAAGAATTTTTAAGACATGCAGCTCTGACTTTGGCAGTGTCAATTTGTGTATTGGTTATGTTAGTGGATTATTATGCAGAAGTAATTTAGAAAACATGAGTTCAAATACCGTCATGGAGGTTTGAGAACTTGAATTCAGGGAAAAATAAGAACGTGAAAAGGGAAAACAGTAAAGTGACTATAGGCTGTCTTAAAAATCCAGTGGTTCACTACTGTTCTTTAAAATGGCATTAGGTACCTCCTAGAGAGTAAACCAAGGAATGCAATTGCCATATAGAATCCTGGTCATGCCACCTTCTTGAAAGGATTATGTAAAAGCAGACTATGTGGCAAGGAAAAAATAAGTGTGAGAAACTTGTGCAGGCGCAGACACACATACAAATGGAAGTAATTATAACGAATGATAAAAACAGTCTTTCTTCTTAGAATGGTTTTCAGCATTGCAAGAATAAGCACATTTACACCTGGACATCATTACACATTTCATAGTATCCCTACACAGTAGAAAAAGGCCATTCGCTCACCAAGTCTGCACCAACTCTCTGACGAGTTTACCACCCAAACACAACCCCACCCCATCCTTGTAATCCCACATTTACCACGGCTAGTCCTAGCCTGCATATTGTGGGGCAATTTAACATGGCCAATCCACATCTGTGGGAGGAAACCAGAGCACCCGGCAGTAACCCACACAGACACAGGGAGAAAGTGCAAACTCCACACAGACAATCACCCAAGACTGAATTCCAACACGGTTCCCAGGCCCTGTGAGCCACCACGCTGTCCAGCATTTATGGAAGCGTTTCACTGAAAATTGAATTAACTTCAGTCCTCTACTTGATACCTACATTGTCTGTGAATACTACTCCCAACTTCCAGATTTGATACTTGACATCAATGGAGTTCAGCCTGTATGAAAAAAAACCAAATCAGTTCATTTGTACCAAGCGCTGACCATGATTGATGAAGGATGTTGATAACAAACACTTCGTAGAAAGTCTTCTGCTGGGAATGGAGAGTAAGGAAGAATGAAACATTTATCCACCTATGGAATCAAGTGAAATGAAATAACATATGAGGTGGTTTAGGCCGGCCACTCAGCTATAATTACAAAATTATTGTAATTACAATAATTACAAAAGAAGAAGATCCACCAGCATCTTTTTAGGACCAGGGTCTTTAGGGTCATTAACTGAGGCATAGTTGGCACTGCCCACGATCTGAGCTCAAATTGTGGGAAAAAAGACAGAGCCAAGAGATGCTCGTACCAACAATATTTGCAAAATATCAAGAATCACAACTTACAGGAAAACATAACCAAGTATTCCTCAAAATGCCCGATGATTCATGTATTAGCACATCTTACATATTGGAATTAATTTTAAGGATCATTAAGCAACGACATTTTAATTGTTTTGTTCTGAAAGGAAATCCTTGCAATGATCTTTTACAATTTAGTTCCAATGAAATCTGCATGATTCACACCAATTTCATTTGCAAAATGAATCCATTTTCCAAGTAGTTTATATTAATCTGACATGCAGCCACTTTGTTCGATTTGTTTTTGTTGCATCAGAATGCTGTCACTCACAGGAATGAAGCAATCTCCTCATTGATGCTGTAAAAAGTCCTAGAGGATTGGAAATGTTTTATTTGTAGAAATTATAATTCAAAAACCCCACACATCTTTCATTTCACAAGGTATAATAAGGGAGCTGGAATATCAATTCTACCATGGTTGATTTTCTAATGGTATAACTTGCATGACAGAGTTATCGAAAGTTTTATTAGAAAAACATCAAGGCTTATACCTTATTTTTTGTTGTAAATGCGATGATGGTGGCACTACTTAAAGCTCACTGTGAAGGAAGGGGCTTTGATTTATACAACCAACATGCTGACAAATCTGACAAGAGACTGATTTAACTAAGACAACACAGTGTGGAGCTGGAGGAACACAGCAGGCCAGGCAGCATCAGAGGAGCAGGAAAGTTGACGTTTCGGGTTGGGACCATTCTTCAGAAACAAAAAGGGTTAAACTAAGGTTCCTTTGACAACTTTAGATTTCAAAATGCACTGTTGATTAAATTAGCACTGAATTACTACCTGCTAAGATGTGCCTTCCAAAACTGACACTGTTGACAGCATTTTTCAGACAATGAGGCTTCTCAGCCCTCACCCGAAGACCCGCCAATACCAGCTGCCTGGCAGACAGCTTATGTTTGGGAGGGCATTCGTTGGCCGAGGTCGATATGCATGCCCCCTGCTGGGGGGACAGTCCACCTTATAAAGGTGCTGGGCAATTAGATGGATCACAGCTCTGCAGTCTCAGCAGTGACAGGTTTGAGCGTCAGCGTCTGTTGGGATCAGTCATCGGAGAAGAGGAGCTAATGGAGGCCTGGCCTAAGGTAGGTCTTGGATATCAGACAGGCCTGGCTGGCAGATCTCAGTCAGAGGAGCGGGTTGGGGTGATGATGGAATTTGAGGGACCAAGAACAGGGGTGGAAGGGGGGATGGTATCATATTTGGCTAAAACGAGGTTATTGCCCTGGCTTGTGCTGGCCCATTCAGCTACCTGCTTGATAATTGGTCTCACTCTGCCTTGGCTAAAATAGTGGCGGTGGCAGGATGAGGACTTCGGGCGCAATTAATGGGCCACATAAGGGCTTCAAAACATAATGACTATGTCAGGTCCAAGGGCATGTGTGCTACTTATCACCTGGGTCAAGGGCAGGCAGCTAGGCAGTAGGCATTGCACTGTATTTTGAGAGTGCCCCGCCTTCAAAGCTGCTTACAAAGCGGATTATAAAATTCTACCCCATGGATTCACCTGAATGAAGGAACATGGGAAAGGGAAGCAGGGTGCAGGCTAATGCAGATAGTGTGATTAGTGTAGATAGTGGGATTATCATAGATAGGCTGATGCAGATATGATGGGCCAAAGGGCCTCTTCTGTGCTGAAAGACTCTATTATAGCAAGTGCTTGCATTTATGTGGCACCGTCAACATACTTAAGCATCCCAAGGTACTTCAAAGGAATGATAACAAATAAAATTCGACACCCAGCCACATGAGGAGATAAAGACCCCAATACACAGTAAGTGGGAAGGAAGCTATTTTTATCCAGCAGAAAAGTGGAAATCGCTTCAGGGAATTCTACAATCAGAAACAAATCTCTTTTGAAAATCTCCTTTCTTACTTGTCTGCTGGATAGGCAGAGAGGCTTGCCTGGGGTACAGTTTTGGGGAAGGTCCCAGAAATCAGGGAGGATTGGAGATTGGTGGGATCAGGAATGGACCAGAAATCAGAAAAAAGGAGACCTTGGAGGGACTGCGGGAAGCAGAAGGGAAGTGGGACAAGCAAATGGTGAAAGGGAGACACCGGGAAAGGTCATAGGAATTTGTGTGTGGGGTTGGGGGGAGGGTGGAGGTGAGTGGGTGTTGGCCAACTGGGCAGAAGATTCGCTTGAGGAGTCGAAGGAACATTCCCACTCCTCCTGACCTTTAAGCAGGGTCATGGAAAGCACTTAGTCACTTCATCCATCTGCTCCCATCTCCATTTTGCAACTGAGCAATGGGAAATCTGGCTTTTAACTATCACATCTAAATCAGATTCCCACCCACACGTTGGGAACCTGAATTAAATATTATAATGAGGTGCTCTACATCTCTGGAGCAGGAAACACAATCCATCACTGGAGGAGTGGCATTATTTTTTAACACGCCTCCCCAATACCTCACATACTCATTGTAGGGGGGACATAATACAGGGAGTTAAAGTTTCAACAGGTCTTTTTAAATTGGTTTCATGCAAATGTTAAGCAGAATGAAATCAGGGGGTCAGGTCAAATGGATAAGCTTCACAGAACCAAGCGACTAAGTTACATATATCCCCTGCGATAGCATCCAGCTTTAATTCTGGGCCCGATCAATCACAAACACAAAGGGAGCATTGCTTTAAATGTACACAGCTTCTCTTTTTAACAACTTTATTGAATTTTGCCAGTAGCGGATACAGTACCGTTGTCTAACCTGTAAAAGTGCATATCCATTCTCAGTTTAGTGGGGGGTAAAGATCAAACCAGTTCTTAAATAAGTATAACCTATGATTAAAGTAGTACAGGTTTTGAAATTCAAATCAAGACTCTTGTATTAACTAACTTAGGGGTCTCTGTTATATTTCTCAAATAAAGTCATAGTCATAGAGATGTACAGCATGATAACAGACCCTTCAGTCCAACTCATCCATGCTGATCAGATATCCTAAATTAATCTAATCCCATTTGCCAGCATTTGGCCAATATCCCTCTAAACTCTTCCCATTCATCTACCCATCCAGATGCCTTTTAAATGATGTAATTGTACCAGCCTCCACCACCTCCTCTGGCAGCTCATTCCATACTGGCACCATTCTCCATGTGAAAAGTTCCCCCTTAGGTCTCTTTTAAATCTAACGGGCGATTTTTTCATGCAGAGGGTGATGCGTGTATGGAATGAGTTTAAAAACCCCAGTACAATTGGATCTTGGATCTAATACTTCCCACTTCAAGAACATAAGCCACAGGAAATCAATCAATGTCTCTTCACATTTTCCAACTCCGTCGTGACACATACGTTGGGTGTAAGTACTACTCACACTGCAGAGAAGGAGTTATCCCTCTTGGGTTTCTTCTTCTCCTGAGCATCACTGAAATCTAAAGCAGCTTTATCCATTCCCAGCAGTTCGCTGATCCTATCTCTCCCATAGAATTCACCATACTTATCCATAACCTGCAGGAAGGCAAGATAAACTGTTATTTAAAGGACTTTTGTGTTACATAAAGCTCAGTGGTGGAATGTTTACAAAGACAAGTCTTAAACAGCATATGATGGCGTACTCTAAAGTCACTGGCCTCATGTAGAGGGGTATTAAGATAGTTGTTTCTATCAGTGAGATTGTTGTACAAATGTGGTATTTGCTGAAATGAATTTTCTCTCCCTCATTAACTTGTTTAAAATAATTCAGTGGAACACATCAGTTAAGCAGCACAGTAAAGAAATTAATAAATGCCTGCTGAAAAAATGTGATGTGCTGTTGAAGATTTTCACCTTGTCCTTGTCAGGCCAGATGCAAGAATGCTAAATTGTAAAGGAAGCAGCAATAAATGCATGAGCAAAAGGAGCAGTATAAATTGTCACTCTCTTTGAAATTTGGCATTCTTGCATCTGTCCTGATGAGTGTAACATGAAAAGTTTCAACAACTTTTTTTTTTAATACCCAAGTTCTGTAGTACCAGACAACTGCTTAAATAAATACTTGTCAAACATCCTATAGTGGCAGCGCTAACCGTGATTGTTTTCTTCAAATTTATTATCAGCTGAATTGACTTGTTTTCAAATTTTTTCACCAATTACCACAACTCATACCTTGTTTTATTGAAATTAACATCCTTTGAATGAACTGGTTTATTGGATACATGCCAATTTCAAATTGACACTGAGTAAACAACCATGTGAGCATCAGTGTGGTGGATTTCAACTGCCTTCAAATGTCATTAGTGGGTAGATAATAGGCTGAAATTAGGGTTGTAACCTTATCACCCCATTAGTGCCAGCTACATTTTAGACAGAGCACACTGCCGAATGTGCAGAGTGTTAGAATATAAACCATATTAAGTATGAAAGTCTGGGTCTACCAATAAAAGTAATGCCCCAATTGCCATTTTAGGTGGGAACTGGTTGCAGTATGAGACATGTAGACCCCAATCAGATTTACAGATAATGGAAGAGAAGAGGCCCATGGAGGATGAGGTTTGTGGGCCTCAGAAGATCAGGAATCATCTGCCCCCAGCCCTGTCCAAGTTTAGATTGCCGATGGGATTGCTGGCCTAATTTTCAGATGAGTTCCATCAAGACACCCGTTCGGCACTTTCACCTCGTCTCATGAAATTAAATGAGGCCAAATTCTCAAAATCATGGAAGCCACTTTACAGCCAAAATGATCAGCTGACCAGCGAGCTCCCAAAACATTTATTCAACTGCAGTGTGTGCAGGATGTCAGAAAAATTACATTTGAACCTGCTCTTTACCTTTCTTTTCACAAACTTGTCCCAGTAGTTATAAGGAAATGATCTGAAAGAGGACAGAATTATTAGTAATCACATCTCCTGGTTCTCGTGCATCTTGCAAATAAAAGAAAGGCAAACTTTGCTGGTCAGGTGATGCTGTCCCAGGTGGGTACAGAGGCAGAACTAATCTGGCTAATCATCTGGAGAAGGGAACATTTTACAGTGCATCATGAAAAACAAAATGAAACAAAACTGCTTTGAAGTAGCCAGACACAAAGCAGGGGAAATCAGCTTGCCAACCTCATGGAATTCTCTGAGGTGGCAACAAGAAAAATGAATGCATTAGCATGTCAATAAAATAATGTACTGAATTAACATGTAAAGAGGCAGTACATAAGGATAGTTCAATGTCATATCTGATTTGCATACTGAGTAAAACACACCTGAATTAAATTTTGGATTTTGATAATGTCATGACCCTAATCTGATGATCCAAATGTTATTTAACTCTGATCTTTTTCCTCGTATTTTCATACTTGCATTGGAGAAATGACAGATCGTAAACCTTACCTCAATACAGCCCATGACTGCAATAGATGTTAATTTTAAATAAATAAAACTCTGGTAATAAGACATGATCTATAGGAAAGCCTATGTCAAAGTGATACGTGGAAGATAATTGGAAAATATTAATGGATATGGAACTGCAGGAGGTCAGAAAATGAAATTGTGAATTGATGACAAGGGAGAAAACAAAGAACTCGATTTGTGGATGCAGTACAGAGACAAATGGACAGGTTCTAAATGGTTTAACTCTGGAGTCAGTTTCATTCATTCTGAAATCAATGAGTTATACATAGTTTTAGAGGGAGAGAGGTCAACATTTGCAGGTAATATTGTAACTGGAGGTAGAATTATCTCCCCAGAAGATCAAATGAAACTGAAACAGGACATTGATAACGTCTGGCCGCTGGCAGCACAATGCTTAAAACGGGCATTGCAGCATGTGGGAGAACTTCTTCAAAAGCACAACCTCAGAACGGTACACAGTTTGAAGTTACTTCATTAGGTATCTTGTATCTATAACGTATCGTATCTTGTATCTATAATATGTTGTATCTTGTATCTATAATATGTTGATACCCATGAGTTCTCTACCATGTCCAACCATGAGCCTTTGAAAGAGAAATCCACACCTCCTATAACATTCCTCAGTCACAGTGAACTCTATGCCCCTGGTTCAACTTGCCACTTCATTTCCCCTCCAATCCAGACATCCACATTCCAAGTTAGAGGGTGAAATGAAGACAGAGTTGCTACTTAACAAAACCATAACAAAATCCTTTGGTGATTAATCTTATTCATAAAAATGCTGAATATAATTTTTTTTTGATTTTGAAATGTAAATCCCTCCTGGTGTGAATGAGTTCTGCAAATGTGTATTTCTAGATAGCTACCATGTTCTACCCTCTGTAAGTCTGAGATGACTCAAGGACATTGAGACCTTGCTGCTCATATCCTAAACTGGAGCAGGTTCAGTTCATCCATTCTGCTGACTGACCATTGGCTCTGGATTAAGCAAACACCTTGATTTAAAACTCTCACCTTGTTCTCAAATCTCACCCTGGCTTTTATCCTTTCTCTCTTGCTACAATTGCTTCCAATTCCAAGATATCTGAACTCTTCCAATCTGGATCCTGAGCATCCCTGATCTAAAACCTTCTGCCATCAATTTCAGCTGCCATAGCCCTAAGCTCTGGAATTCTCAGAGCTAACCGCGAGCTCTCAAATCCTTTTTCCTCAAGATAACCCTTAAAACCCACCTGCATAGAATCCATACAGTGTGGAAACAGGCCATTTGGCCCAATGTGTCTACACCGACCCTCCAAAAAGCATCCTACCCAGATTCATCCCCCTATCCTATCCCTGTATTTTGCACTTAACCTATACATCCATGAACACTACGGCCAATCCACCTAGCCTGCACATCTTTGGATTGTACAAGGGAACCGGAGCACCCGGAGGAAACCCACATAGACACAGGGGGAAAATGCAAACTTCACACAGACAAAGAGACACCTCTTTGGGAAAGTTTTTGTTCATCTCCCTCGAATGTATTCATGGGGCAGGAAGGCTCTTGCATGATTTATGCAATTAAGGGCTACTTAAAAGTCCTGTGCCACTGTACTCAGTGAGTGGTGAGCAAGCCACTTGCCATGTGGGGAGCTTAAAAAGATCTGCTGTGTATCAGGCTCTCAGAGATTTGCGGGGATGGTGGTGACTGTCCATCGTCATTGGGCGTCAATGCCTAATTGATGGACCTGCCATCAGAAGTGAGGGAATAACCAGCATCCCACCCCCAACTCTTCACCTTTCCTTCTGACCGCTCCTCCACCCTCCCCCGGGCTGTGACCACCTCCCTGCAAGCCCGTTACCTCTCACTCACTTGAGGTTTATGTCCTGTGTGGAGTTAAGGCAGCTATTGTCACCCTGCCAGTGATGCTGACTGATGAGGAGCTGATAGCCTCTCGTTAACCTTGGGTTTGGAGAGAGTGTTGTGGGGGGTGAAGATTACGACCACCCATATCGAGGATTCTGGACAATGCTCATTGCTGACTGTTGCACATAATTGGGCAGGTCTTACCAAAAGGAGGAAACGTGGGATTCTTGCTGGGTCTCACACTGGTGGTCAAGATCCACACTAACTGGATTACATTCCCGCCAGAGTCTTTATAGCATAGATATAGGCCATGAACCTTTCATTTCTTCAGACATTTTCCTTCACCGTTTCTTTATTTTTTCATGGCATGCGAGCATTTCTGCAAGGACAGCGTTTGTCACCAATACCTTATTGACTGTGAACAGAATGGTCTTGCTAAAGCACTTCAGAAGACTTTCACAGACCAACCACTTTGTTGTGGGTTTAGAGTCACATAGGCCAGATCAGATAAGTACAGGAGATTTCGCTCCCATTAGGCAACTGGATGGGTTTTCACAACAATTGATGATACTTTTGTGGTCACCACAGCTGAAATTAGCTTTATATTCCAGATTTATTCATTGAATTTGAATTCCACCACTAGGTGTGGTGTGATTTGAGTGTATGCCACTATAGCATTAACTTGGGCCTCTTGGATTTCTAATCAAATGACATTACCACTGTGCTACAATCGCTCCCCCCAACTCCCCCCAAATATATTAACCAAGTAACAGAATTACATACAAACTCAAAGTCTTATACTCACTGTGTGTTTATGACCAGCCTATCCCATTGTCCCTTGATGTCATCCTCTGAAGGTTGCTCTGTGATGTATAACCCATCAAACTCCAACTTCCTGGCAACCTCTTTCTCTCTCTTGAAAATAACCAGAGGGACCTACAAAAAAATAAGGACGTCAGTGTGGCTGAATGACATGACAACTCCAATTTTATAGCCACCAACTTCCCATTTTGCAGACTCCCTTGCTGTCATTTAACTGCAGACTGGTTGATGATCTAACATAAGAAAGACACGCTCATTCACTGATGAGCTAAAGAGATTGGCATCTCAAATATTCACTGCAAAGATTAGAGAGACTTGGACAAGCGAGATGACAGTCTCCCGTGGAAGGCAATATCTGCTGGGACACTGTCACCTCCATCGTCTGAAGATGTGACATTTGCACTCTCCCAACACTACTGGTGAGATATGGACTTCAACAGTGTCTGAATGCGTCCTGCTGCCTCCGCTCTGCAGTTTTCCCACCTCCATCCAAATCACATTACATCTGTCTGTGTTCAGCTCGCCTCCAGATCCCTCTTCTCCTCAGGAGGAATATAAAATGTCCAAAGGGAACACCGATCCTCACCATTAATAGTGCACTGACAGATGACAACACTGCCAAGCTCTTGGACTCATGCCTGAAGGATAGCCCTAATTATAATTATATTTCAGAAGAAGTGTCCAGACCCGAAACGTCAGCTTTCCTGCTCCTCTGATGCTGCCTGGCCTGCTATGTTCATCCAGCTCTACGCCTTGTTATCTTAGACTCCAGCATCGGTAGTTCCTACTATCCCTAGTTATAATTACAGGTTTATGAAAGGCAAAGATTTTCTAAACAACTAACTGTCAGCAGCCTCTCCTGTTAAATTGGACACAGACCTCACCTCTTTTACACCCTGAAAAAAAAGTCCAGATTCACACCAGGTCTGTTTCAGATATTTTATAACCAAGCAGTTCAGAGATGTTATGGTACACCTCTGGAACAGGTGGGACTTGAACCCAGATCACTTGGCTCACAGGTAGGGATATTACCATTGCACCACCAGAACCCTTCTAGGCAGAAGGCATATGCACCCACCTTATTAAAGCATCAGGACTGTATCAATCAGATTACTGACTAGCTAAAATGGTTTTATAAATTTCAAAATGACATGCAGACTGTTGATTTTGGAGTATGCTCACCCACATTATTGTGTTCTGGCTCAATTAGATCAGCATGCCAGATATTGTTTGTGACTATAATAGCCTCACTTTTGCAATGTAAAATTCAGCTCCATGTTATGGACTAGTTTAATTGGTTTTCTCCCATCATCCTCAAGCCAACTTTTTCATGTCCTGATAATGGTTAAAATATTGTAAATGAACATAGGTCTGTTTTCAGATTATTGAGCCATTAATTTCTACATCTTGTAACTCCACGAAACCATTTTGCTCAGATTATACACTGTGTAGGCTTCAACTATCCAATAGATTAGTCAATCCGTAGTGGAACAAATAATTAATACTGGTCGCATTTTACAGTAAAATATAATATTTAATGTTCTGGATGATGGTCTTGAGGTACAGTGGGTAGCATCTCTAAGCCAGAACTCTGAGTTCAAGTACCACTTAAAGAATTGATGTCCAAGGACAGTGCATTCACAATGTGGGCAAACAAGTTGAGTATCAACTGGTGAATACTTCCAACACAGGCCAATCAATGGCAGGAGGTAAGAGTGGAAGAGACTCGTGGTCAGCCATGTGATGGGATGAAATTGGAGTCTCTGCCATCACTATCCACAGATCCAGGCAATGGATTGCATGTAAAGTGAATGTTACCCCCCAACAACTTAGATTTCTTGGGGGATGGAGGGTGGAGAGGTGCGGTCAGTTAGCCGTGCACTTCAATTCCTCATTTTGAGGTGTATTTGGAATCTGAAGAAGAATCAAGACGGACTGAAAGTATTGACTCTGTTTCCCCTCAGATGCTGTCAGACCTGCTGAGTTTGTCCAACATTTTCTATGTTTATTTCAGATGTCCAGCTTCTATAGTATTTTGCTTTTATTTGGATTTGTGATCTGTCTCCTTGCCATACACATTGTGGAGATTGTGGCAATGTGGGTCTGATCTGCCTTCCAGCAGAGAACCCAAGAAGAAAATAACGTGTAGTAGAAAGGAATGCACAACGCTTTCCATTGCAGTGCTGTTTTACCCATTTTCTAACATAATTGTAAAAAAAAATTCTCATTTTGGAAAGATTAGCTAATAAACATCTTTAAACTTGTGACTACATTTACTTTAATCACACAGAATGTTTGCATTTGAATTGAAAAGCTAAGGTTGGCTAGTGAATATTCATGTTCAGATACAACAAAATTTAACTGCAACAATGTATGAGAGAATGAGTTAGAACACTCTGAATTATGCTGTCTGCTCTCCCAAACCATGCTGTACCAGAATGGAAAAAGAGCCAAAACCCAGCTAAACGTCTATAAATACAGGTGGTTGTCCGAAAATGCAATAGTTGTGTTCTTGTGTGACCTCGTGCTATGGAATATTGTGCTATACAAAATTGCACTATAGAAAATCGCCTTTGAAAATAGCATTATAGAGAAATCATTTTGGAAAATCGCTTTACCTATACATTCGATAGTTTGCGGTATCCAAACAGTATCCACTATTCATCAATCACTTTACAGCCAATTCCCGTTATACCAGAACTACCTGTATGTGAACTTTAATTGTTAAAGTTACCCACAATCGCTGACAGTCAGAGGTCCTAAACCCAGAATTCAGAGTAAGTTAAGGTTAATAATAAATCTTTCCAATAATTTTACTTTTAAAACTTATCCTGACAATAGTCTGAAATGATTTTTGAATCTCACTGCTGTGATCTGTTATCCATTACTCACTGCAAACTTCAAAAAATGCTAATGATTAAAAATAAATCCTAAATGTGGATATCCCAATTTTATGTTGTAAAATTGTAATATCTACCTGAATCTAAATACTAGGAATTGATCTTCTGCAGAGAGCTGTGTATATTCTTCATACAGGAGAAATATATGTTACAAATATATATATGTTACGTACTGACCATATCTTTTTTATGAGAAATAGGCTAAGCAAAAAAAAAATTACATTTAACACAAGTGCAGGGGTTCTATCAGACTGGTTAATTCTACTGGGTAAATTTCAGGTTTCACCAACGGCATGGAGACCTTTTTGTGGCACAAAGAAAATGCCCAGAGTGGAATAAAATCCTTGTGACAGTTCATTGTGTACATCAATAATTGTGATTACAAGCCTATAATCTAATGCTGGGTTTCAGACGATGGTGTTAATCTATTTGATCTTTGCTTTAATAACCATTGATTAGAAGGCTGCCTGCTAATCATGCCAAGGCAATATCCAGGATGCTACAGACTACAATATCAGAGTCAGTCTCATGAAAACCCAGGTGAGTAATGTAGAACCTGGGCTGTAAAATGACAAACTCTGCAACTTAAGCAAAAGAAATCATTGACCAATGAATATGGGTTAAATAGTTCAGGTAATACAATCAAACACAATGGGGTTAGGCATAGAGAGTTAGTCCTCTGGGTATGAATTAGACTTTCAGCTTGTTTCTTGGAATAAAATTTGCAATTTACACAATTAGTACCTACAGCTTGCAACAAAAACAACACTGTTTTTGTGAATTGTTTGCAAAGACAAATTTTTTCTGTTGCCTTACTTTTAAACAGTAGTAGCCAATGATGCAGAAAAATGAGATGACAGTATGCAGGATGGCTAGAATTCGCAGGGTGGGTTCCATATAGCCACTGCTTTCTTGGAGAACATAATGCACTGTGACCCTGTGCCCATTTCCCATACTGCTCCATCGAGAACCTCCACCTTCCTGATAGTATCCTGGGTGTTTACATTCTTTCTCTTCTAGGGTTGGAGAAGTGGAGACCTGTTGAACATTGCACATTAGTAACGGAACCTTCCACGATTGATCAAAATATCCAACACAATTTACAGTCTTTGCATTCAGAGATTACGATAGAAACAAATCAACCGCTGGAATGTTTTCAAAACTTGTTTTTGGACGCACAAGATATATCTACCATCATTTTAATGATACTGTGATGCACAAATATAAACATAGAAAATAGGAGCAGGCCCTTTGAGCCTGCTTTGCCATTCAATATGATTATGACTAATCATTCAACACAGTATCCTGCTCCCACTTTCTCCCCATAACCTTTGAACCCTTTAAGCCTAAGAGATATATCCATCTCCTTCTTGAAATTTATGAATGTTCAGCCTCAACTACTTTCTGTGGCAGAGAATTCCACAGGCTCACCGCTCTCTGGGTGAAGAAATTTCTCCTCATCTCAGTCCTAAATGTAAACCCCATGTCCTTAAACTATGGCCCCTGGCTCTGGACTCCCCAGTCATCGGGAACATCTTACATAAATTTGCCCTGTCTAGTCCTGTAGAATTTTATAGGTTTCTGTGAGCTTGTCCCCAGTTATTTTAAACTCCAGTGAATATAGTTCTAAATAATCCAGTCTCTCTTTATGTCAGTTCAGCCATCCTAGGAATCAGTCAGGTAAATATTTGTTGCACTCCCTCCATAGTCAGAACATTCTTCCTTAGATAAGGGCACCAAAACTGAAGATGTGGTCTCACCAAGGCCCTGTACAATTGCAGAAAGGCATCTCTGCTTCTGTCCTCGAATCCTCTCTCTATCAGAGGCAACACACTATTTGTCTTCTTCACTGCCAGCTTATTGATGTATAAGGACATCTAGATCTCGTTGTGGTTCCCCCTTTCCAATCAATATTCAGCCAATAACCTGACTAATCTGTTTTTGATACCAAAGTAGATAACCTCACATTTATCCATGTTATACTTCTTCTGCCATGACTTGCTCACTCACTCAATCTGTTCAGATCAAACAGAAACATCTCTGCATCCTCCTCAAAGTTCACTCACCAACCCAGCTTTGAGATCTACAAGCTTGGTGATATTACATTCAGTTCTCTCATCTAAATCAAGAATATAGTTTGTGAGCAGCTATGGTCCAAGTACTGATCCTCACAGTATCGCACTAGTCACTGCCTGTCACTTGGAAAAAGACTCATTTATTCCTACTGTTCGTTTCCTGACTGACAACCAGTTCTCTATCCATGTCAGTACACTAATCCCCAGTCTCATGCATTTTAATTTTATATGCTGATCTCATAGAAACCCTTCGGAAAGTCTGAGTAAACTATCCACTGGCTCTCCCTTATCAACTATTTACATCTCAAAAAATTCCATTGGATGTCTCAAGCATGATTTCCCTTTTGTAAATCCACACTGACTCTGTCCAATCATGTTACTGTTTTCAAGTGCTTGGCTATTAAATCTTTTCTAATGGACTCTAGCATTTTCCCAACTACTGACGTCAGGCAGTTTAGACTTCCCTGTTTTCTCTTTACATTCTTTTTAATGAGCAGGGTTACAGTAGCTACCGTCCAATCAATAGACTGTTCCGCAGTCTATGGAAACTTGAAAGATGACTACCAATGTATGCATTATTTCAAGGGACACTTCCTTAAGTACTCTGAGATGTAAACTATTAGGCCCTAGGGATTTATCGGCCTTGAATCCCATCAATTTCCCCAAAACCATTTCTATCTAAGACTGATTTCCTTCCGTTCCTCCATCTCACTGGACACAGTGTTCCCCAACATTTTTATATGTTATTTGTGTCTTTCTTTGTGAAGTAAGCACCGAAGTACGCAAAGTCTGCCATCTGTCTGTTCCCTATTTTAACTTCCCCAGTTTCTGATTGCAATGGGCCTACATTTATGTTGATTAATCTTTTTTCTGTTCACATACCTATAGACATTCTTACAGTCAGTTTGCACGTACCCACAAGTCTACTCTCATACTCTACCTTTCCCCTCTTAACAATGTAATCGTCTTCCTGTGCTGAAAACTAAACTGATCCCAATCTTCAGGTCTGCTACTTGTTAGGGCCAATTTGTATGCCCATTCGTAACACTATTCTTAATTTCCCTTGGGCACTTTTCCTGTTTTATTTTTGCACCAGACAGGAGCAATTGTTGCAGTTCTTCCATACGCTCTTCAAATATTTACCGTTATTATCCACTGTTATCCCTTTAAGTAACGTTCCCCCACTTACCATAGCCAGCTTGTGCCCCATACCATTGGAGTTTCCTTTATCTAGATTTAGGAGCCTAATCCTGGAATCAGCGATGTCACTCTCCATCTTAATGAAGAATTCAATCATTTTATGGTCACTCATCACCAAGGGGCCTCACACACAGTTAGATTGCCAATTATTCCTTTCTCACTACACAATACATAGCCTAGAATGGCCTGTTCTCCACAGTAATGCTTTACAACTTTGACATTCCATACTATGTGCTTCCCATACAAAGAAAAATATTGCCAAACATTTCTTCATGAAAAAATATCTTGTGCTAATTTCAAGCATCTGGGACAGAGAATTGCAATCATTTTCAATACTGATGCTTGAAATGCTTTAACTGAATTCTAAAAAAAGTGAACACTATCATGCACACCCTTTTTTATTGAGACATGGATGATGCAATATGTCAGGGTAACTATTGTCTGTACACAATTCCATTCACGTATATGCTTGGTGGCATTCCTTACTACACCAATCTGCCATCACTCTTATGGTCAAATAGTCTAATTAATCCCAGAACCAACCATCTGGCATCAGATCAGCTGGAAACAAGTAGTGAGTTAAGTACATGCCAGCTAAACATTGTTTCACGTGTAACATGGATCAATGTAAAATTCTGAATTCAAGCTTAAAAAAGGTCACAATTTCACAACTAAATTTTCATTCAACAGACTTGAGAAGTACATGCCACAACCCTACTTCTGGAGATCACAGTTGTATGACACTCATTGTGGCATTTCATTTTGTGCTTTACGTTTATCTCTTGGATTAAGCAATACCAACGGTTGGTTAGTCCTCCAAAAACACCACCAACTCACTCATTACTGCTGGGGACAATACTCAAGAGACATAATTACATTAATTTGATTATTTAATAGGTTAATTGAATCCAGTTGGGAAAACACAAATTATAATTGAGACTCGGCGATCAGAGCCCAATCTGAATTTTTAAAGAAGAACATCAGGATTTTCACTCACTTCTGTAGGAAGGACAGTTTAGAGTTTGATCTTTACTTAGCTGTTAGCAATTTTATCGCTAACATATTCTGATTAGTAAAAATCAAAATGAACAAATGTCAACTGTTTCTTGAACAATGACAAGAATGGAGAATAAATTATCATGTATTTCTGCACCATTTGTGCCAATTAAAATATCATATTAGGGCGTATACCAGCCACAATGATGATACCATATGGCTCAGTACAAGAACATCTTAGGATCGCACAGGAACAGACCTACAATCTGGATCTTCCTCATAGTCTCTGTTAACAAGGTTTATATCATATCAGTATAACCATGGTACAGTTGCTGTCATGCAGTAGATTACATCTTACTTAAGACAAAAGCCTCTTCTGGTTAGACAACCAGATGGCCTTTACACGACCACACTAGAGCAAGTGGACCCTATAGATCCTTCTCTGAAAGAAGACAGTGGCAACAAATATACTGTAGAGTGTGCAATAATAGAGAGTTTATACAACATGATGAGCTCGGGTTAGGACTGCTCATATGAAAACAGACTCAATCGGAAAACTAGGAAATATGAACGGAATCAATCAATAACATTCTGGATAACAAAGAAGTTGTCATTTGTCATTTATATAAACGATCTGGATGAGAATATAGCAAGCATGGTGAGTGGGTTTGTGGATGACACTAAAATTGGTTGTACAGTCCACAGTGAAGAAGGTTATCTATGATTTAAATGGGATCTTGATCAATTAGGCCAATGGATTGAGGAGGGCAGATAGAGTTTGATTTAGATAAATGAGAAGTGTTGCATTTTGGTAACACAAACAAGGGCAGGACTTACACAGTTATTGGTAGACCTAGAGTTCAGGTACATAGTTCATTGATAGTTGCATCACAGGTAGACAGGGTAGTTAAGAAGGCATATAGCATGCTTGCCTTTATTGCTCAGACCATTGTGTATAAGATTTGCGACGTCACGTTGTGATTGAACAGGAAGTTGGTGAGGCCACTTTTGGAGTAGTGAGACAACAAGGTGCAGGGCTGGATGAACACAGCAGGCCAAGCAGCATCATAGGAGCAGAAAGGCTGATGTTTCGGGCCTAGACCCTTCATCAGAAAAGAGGGAGGGGAAATAAATAGGGAGAGAGTGGGAGGCAGATAGAAGATGGATAGAGGAGAGGATAGGTGGAGAGGAAACAAACAGGTCGAAGAGGCGGGGATGGAGCCAGTAAAGGTGAGTGTAGGTGGGGAGTTAGGGAGGGGATAAGTCATGCCACGGAGGACGGACAGGTCAAGGGGGCGGGATGAGGTTAGTCGGTAGGAGATGGGGGTGCGGCTTGAGGTGGGAGGAGGGGATAGGAAGAACAGGTTAGGGAGGCGGGGATGAGCTGGACTGGTTTTGGGATGCGGTAGGGGGAGGGGAGATTTTGAAGCTTGTGAAATCCACATTGATACCATTGGGCTGCAGGGTTCCCAAGCGGAATATGAGTTGCTGTTCCTGCAACCTTCGGGTGGCATCGTTGTGGCACTGCAGGAGGCCCAGGATGGACATGTCGTCCGAGGAATGGGAGGGGGAGTTGAAATGGTTCGCGACTGGGAGGTGTAGTTGTTTATTGCGAACCGAGCGTAGGTGTTCTGCAAATCGGTCCCCGAGCCTCCGCTTGGTTTCCCCGATGTAGAGGAAGCCACACCGGGTACAGCGGATGCAGTATACCACATTGGCAGATGTGCAGGTGAACATCTGCTTGATGTGGAATGTCTTCTTGGGGCCTGGGATGGGGGTGAGGGAGGAGGTATGGGGGCAGGTGTCGCACTTCCTGCGGTTGCAGGGAAAAGTGCCGGGTGTGGTGGGGCTGGAGGGGAGTGTGGAGCGGACAAGGGAGTCACGGAGAGAGTGGTCCCTCCGGAAAGCAGATAAGGGTGGGGAGGGAAAGATGTCTTTGGTGGTGGGGTCGGGTTGCAGATGGCAGAAGTGTCGGAGGATGATGCGTTGGATCCGGAGGTTGGTGGGGTGGCACGTGAGGACGAGGGGGATTCTTTTTTGGTTCTTATTGCGTGGACGGGATGTGAGGGATGAGTTGCGGGAGATGTGGGAGACACGGTTGAGGGCATTCTCGACCACTGAGGGGGGGAAGTTACGGCCCTTGAAAAACGAGGACAACTGAGATGTACGGGAGTGGAATGCCTCATCCTGGGAGCAGATGCGGCGGAGGCGGAGGAATTGGGAATAGGGGATAGCATTTTTGCAGGAAGGTGGGTGGGAGGAGGAGTATTCTAGGTAGCTGTGGGAGTCGGTGGGCTTGAAATGAATATCGGTTTCTAGGTGGTTGCCCGATATGGAGACAGAGAGGTCCAGGAAGGGAACAGAGGTATTAGAGATGGTCCAGGTAAACTTAAGGTTGGGGTGGAAGGTGTTGATGAAGTGGATGAACTGTTGGAGCTCCTCGTGGGAGCACGAGGCGGCGCTGATACAGTCATCAATGTAATGGAGGAAGAGGTGGGGTTTAGGGCCGGTGTAGGTACGGAAGAGGGATTGTTCCACGTAACCTACAAAGAGGCAGGTGTAGCTTGGGCCCATGCGGGTACCCATGGCCACCCCCTTTGTCTGTAGGAAGTGGGAGGAATTGAAAGAGAAGTTGTTGAGGGTGAGGACGAGTTCGGCTAAGCGGATGAGGGTGTCAGTGGAGGGGAATGGTCGGGCCTGCGGGATAGGAAGAAGCGGAGGGCCTTTAGGCCATCTGTATGGGGAATGTGGATGTAGAGGGACTGGACATCCATGGTAAAGATGAGGTGTTGGGGACCGGGGAATTGGAAGTTCTGGAGGAGGTGGAGGGTGTGGGTGGTGTCACTGACATAGGTAGGGAGTTCCTGGACTAAGGGGGAGAAAATGGAGTCCAGATAGTTGGAGATCAGTTCGGTGGGGCAGGAGCAGGCGGAGACAATGGGTCGACCAGGGCATTCAGGTTTGTGGATTTTGGGAAGGAGATAGAAGCGGGCAGTGCGGGGTTGGGGAACGATGAGGTTGGAGGCCGTGGGTGGGAGGTCACCTGAGGTGATGAGATTGTGGACGGTTTGGGAGATGATGGTTTGGTGCTCAGGGGTGGGGTAGTGAGTCCAGTTCTGGTCACCCTGTTATAGGAAGGGTATTATTAAATTGGAGAATGTGCAGAAAAGATTTACAAGGAATGTTACTGGGACTGGAGGATTTGAGTTATAAAGAAAGGCTGGATAAGCTGGGATTCTTTTTTCACCAGAGCATAGGAGGTTGAGGGGTGATCTTACAGAGGTCTATAAAATCATGAGGGGCATAGATAGGGAGAATAGCAAAGATCTTTCCCTCGGGTTGGGGAGTTCAAAACTAGAGGGCAAGTGGTCATACGTGAAATAAACTGCCAAAGGAAGTGGTAGATGCAGGTAAAGTTACAACATTGAAAAGACAGTTGAGTCAGTACATGAACAGGAAAGGTTTAGAGGGGCATGGGCCAAACACAGACAAATGGGACTAGTTTGGTTTGGGAAACCTGGTCAGTATGGACAAAGTTGGACCAAAGGGTCTGTTTCCTTGCTGTGTGATTCTATGACTCTATTGTTATTTGGCACACAAATTATGGCTAAACATTATCATCTGCAACCCCCTCAAAAAGTTAGACAAGAATACAAAACTCCCACCTTATAGAACAGGAGAATGAAGTTAATTGCAAAGGCGACAAACAATGCCAGCATCCTCATGTTGTAGAAATTGCGTGCAAAGTAATTCTGGAAAGGGAGGAAAAAATGGATTGTGGAAAATTTTCATATAAACAAAATGCTAAACAAAAGTATTTATAAAAACATTAAATATACCGTAAGACCTAATGTAATTAACTTAGAAAATCAACACTAAATCATTTCTTCAAATGCAATGAACCAAGGAAGATTTTAAAGAAAATAATGACAATAGAAGGGTGGATGCCCAACAACACAAGAAGGACCTGAAAGGTCCTACATTTGGTTTGTGGTATGTACTTGATTCTGTAGTCAGAGCCCAGCCATTCTTGCTGGAATTGTACATCTATGAACGCTGTGCAAAGACAGAATCAGACTTGACTGTCATGTTCCCTGGACAGATGTAATGGTATAGCCATTCAGGCTCTCAAACCTGTTCTGTTATTCAATGAGATTATGGCTAATTGTACCTCATTAGGATTTATTCATCTTTAATCCAAATTCCTTGGTACTCTGTTCACAAAAACCTGTTGACTTCAGTCTTGAAAGCTGCAATTCACCCAAGATTGTCTTGGTAAATTTAGGAGTAAGTAATAGTGCTTAGCGGAAGTGTGCCTGTTGTTTTCCAAAAATAAGTGTTCATCCGTAAGAAAGTTGAAAGTGTTAAAAAAGGAAAACAGGGATGTTCTCAGAATGAAAAGTGGAATGCCAACATAAGGATTTTCAGATTGAGTACAGGAGATGAACTACTGCTCATTGTAAATTCTGTTTTCCTTCAGTGTTGACCTTTGTCAGAAACAAAAAAAAGGCTGATGGGTAGAATTGAGAGATAACCATCAGCACTTCTCCTTTCTCTCAAAGTAAAAATTGATGCCCAATTCTCCCTGTTCAACCTCTCATGTTGGCTGTAATTTTTCAGGTGCTTTGTTAGAGGTAGTGGGCATGAGAAATCAGCTGAAAGGCCAGGTGGGCTAACTACCCATCACATTCATGCAACCACTTTGTGTATAACCAACAGGAGGGAAGGTGGTGGAGAGCTGTCCTGGCGTGAAATCGATTGAGGGCTTTAAGTGGCCATCAGGTGAGCTCTTTGCTGCATCAGGTGAGTGCCAGGTATACTTTGGGAGATTTTGTACGGGTGCAGGATTGAGTTGGCTTCTAATTGGACACCCTTAGCAAGGAATACCTTTTCAGAAACATCCCTCGTTGCCCACACCAGCCAAACTGGCCGAGCCCACTTTTCTGAGTTTCTGGGTCTCCTCTTTGTTTGTCAGTTCTTCCTGATTATAATTCCAGCAGTCCCCACCACTCCCAGTGGTGCTGCTCGGAGTATTGTTGGTCCTCTGATTAGCCAGCAGCTCTTAAGGGTCATGACCTTTCTTCTGAAAGGGAATTGTCGGCTGCAGGCAAGATAATATAGGGACTCCCAAAACTGGCCACAGTCAGGATGCCCTTGACTTTCTGGGTAAAAGATGGTACCACTGCTGCCCCATGAAATCCCAGCATTTCTATCAGAAGCTTTGAAACAAGCTGATGTTCATAACTTGAAGTTATTTCCTGACCTAAATGCCTTAAGTTTGACTCTGTTTTCTACAATTAGAAAACAATCTCTTCTCATGCGAATAATTTTCTCCCTAAAATATTTCATTCACCGATCACAAGTGCACAGCACAACAATTTTCTGACGTGCAGTAAATTGTGGCTTTCTGTCAGCATTGAAGATTAATTGCCACCCTTCCTATTATGTTGAGTTAATTTATTAGATTAGTAAAATAGCAAAATTCCTTTTTTTTTATTCACTTGTGAGACGTGGACATCGCCAGGTGGCCAGCACTTTTTTGTTGTTATTGTCCACCCCTCATTGCCCTTGAGAAGGTGGTGGTGAGCTGCCTTCTTGAACTGCTGCACTTCATATGCAATAGGTTGACCCACAATGCCGTTAGGGAGGGTTTCGACACAGCGACAATGAAGACATGGTTATATATTTCCAAGTCTGGATAGTGAGTGGTTTGGGAGGAAACTACCAGGTGGTAGTGTTCCCATGTATCTGCTGCCCTTGTTCTTCTGCATGGAAGTGGTCATGGGCTTGGAAGGTGCTGTCTAAGGATCTTTGACGAATTTCTGCAGCGCATCTTGTAGATAGTACACAATGCTGTTACTGAACATCAGTGGTGGAGAGAATGGATGGTTTTGGATGCAGTGCCAATCAAGCAGGCTGCTTTGTCCTGGATAGTGTCAAGATTCTTGAGTGTTGTTGGAGTTGCACCCATCCAAGCAAATGGGAAGTATTCCATCACATGCCTGGTGTATGCCTTACAGATAGTGGACAGGCTTTGGGGAGCCAGGAGGTGAGTTACTTGCTGCAGTATTCCTAGCCTCGGAACTGCTTTTGTAACCACTGTGTTTGTGTGACTAGTCTAGTTGAGTTTCTGGTCAAAGTTAACCCCAAGGATGTTCATAGTGGGGGATCTAGTGATGGTAACACCATTAAATATCAAGGGGTGGAGATCAGGTTGTATCTTATTGCAGATGGTCATTGCCTGGCATTTTTGTGGCGTGAATTTATTTGCCACTTGTCAGCCTGAGCTTGAATATCATCCAGATTTTGTTGCATTTGAACATGGACTGCTTCAGTATCTGTGGAGTAATGAATGGTGCTGAATGTTGTGCAATCATTAGCGCAAATCCACTTCTGACATTATCTTGGAGGAAAAGTCTTTGATGGAACAGCTGAAGATGGACGGACCTAGGACAGTATCCTGAGATATTCCTAGAGATGTGCTGGAGCTGAGATGAACAGACCCCTGACAACCACAACCATCTTCCTATCTACCAGTTATGACTCCAACCAGTGGAGTGTTTGCCCCGATACTCATTGATTCCAGTTTTGCTAGGGTTCCTTGATGCCACACTTGGTTGAATGCGGCCTTGATGTCAAGGGCTGTCACTCTCACCTCACCTCTGGAATTCAGCTCTTTTGTCCATGTTTGAACTAAGGCTGTATTAAGGTCAGGAGCTGAGTGGTCCTGGTGGAACCCAAACTGGGCATCACTGAGCAGGTTATTGCTGAGTAGGTGCTGCTTGATAGCACTGTTGATGACATCTATCATCACCTCAATAATTATCGAAAGTAGACTGATGGTGTGGTAATTGACTGGGTTGGATTTGTCCTGCTTTTTGTGTACAGGACATACCTGAGCATTTTTTCATATTGTTCAGCGTATGCCAGTGCTGTATCTGTACTGGAACAGCTTGGCCAGTTGTTGGAGCGGCGAGTTCTGGAGCACAAGTCTTCAGTACTATTGCTGGAATGTTGTCAGAGCCCATGGCCTTTGCAGTATCCAATGTCTCCAACCATTTCCTGATATTATGTGAAGTGAATCGAATTGGCTGAAGACTGGTATCTGTGATGCTGGGGACCACTGGAAGAGGCTGAGATGGATCATCTACTCAGCACTTCTCGCTGAATTTGCTGCAAAAGCTTCAGCCTTATCTTTTGCACTGATGTGCTGGGCTCTTCCATCATTGAGGATGGGGATATTTGTGGCCCCTCCTCCGCTATTGAGTTGTTTAATTGATGTGGCAGAACTGCAGAGCTTAGATCTGATCCGCTGGTTGTGGGATTGCTTAGCTCTGTCTATCACTTGCTGCTTTTGCCGTTTGGCATCCAAGTAGTCCTGTTTGGCGGTTTCACAAAGTTGACACCTCAGCTTCATGTATGCCTGCAGCTGCTCCTAGCATTCCATCCTGCACTCTCCATTGAACCAGCATTGATCCCCTGGCTTGCTGGTAATAGGTGGGTGGGGCTTATGCCAGGCCATGAGGTTACAGATTGTGCTGGAGTACAATTCTGCTGCTGTTAATGGCTCACAGCGCCTCATGGAGGTCCAGTCTTGAGTTGCTAGATCTGTTTGAAGTCTGCCCCATTTAGCAGTGATAGTGCCACATGATATGACGGAGTTTGTTCTCAACGTGAAAGTGGAACTTTGTCTCCACAAGGACCGGGCAGTGGTCATTCTTACCAATACCGTCATGGACAGATGCATCTGCAGCTGGCAGATTGGTAAGGGTGAGGTCAAGTATGTTTTTCCTTCTTGATGATTCCCTCGCAACTATGTCCTTTAGGACCTGACCAGCTCGATCAGTACTGTTGCTGCCTAGCCGTTCTTGGTGGTGGACATTGAAATCCCCCATCCAGAGTACATTTTGCAGCCTTGCCTTCCTCAGTGCTTCTTCCAAGTGTTGATGAACAAGGAGGAGTACTGATGCATCAGCTGAGGCAGGAAGAGTACATGGTTATCAGCAGGAGGTTTCCTTGCCCATGCTTAACCTGAAGCCATGTAACTTCATGGGGTCTGGAGGTCAATGATGAGGACTCCCAGGGCAACTCCCTCCCAATACTATACCACTGTGCCGGCACCTCTGCTGGGTGAGTCCTACCAATGGGATAGGAACATTATTCTATTAGGTATGATTCCGTGAGTATGACCATGTCAGGCTGCTGCTTGACTAGTCTGTGAGGCAGCTCTCCCAGTTTTGGTACTCGCCTCCAGATGTTAGTAAGGAGCACACTGCAGGGCCGACAGGGCTGTTTCTGTCATTGTCGCTACCGGTGTCTGGGTTGCTGCTGGGTGGTCTGTCCAGTTTCATTTCTTTGTTGAGATTTCATAGCAATTGATACAGCTGAGTGGCTTGCTAGACCATTTCAGAGGGCAGCTGACAGTTAACCACATTTTAATTAACTCCACAGAAGCTAGTATCCTGTCACCAAGTCACCCTTTACTTACACATGGAGAGCCCTTGACACTGACCTATCACCTTCAGAGCCAGTTCTCAGAGTAAACAGAATGTCTGACACTCCTGTTCTTATTTAACAGCCAGGGCTCCCAGATTAGACCAGATTAACAGCCCCAGTCAGGAAACTCATATTCTTTTAGGTCCACCTGGCCGACCTCATTACAATCACTACAATAATGCTGTGGGTCTGAAGTCAGATGTAGGCCAGATCAGGTGAAGATGGCAGATTTCCTTCCCTGAAGGACATTAGTTGGACAGATGGGGTTTTCTTTGACAATCAATAATGGTTTCATGATCTTTAGTATACTGTTAATTCCAGATCTTTTTTTGAATTCAAATCCCACCATCTGCCATGGCAGGATTCAAACCCGCGTCCATAGAACATTAGAGATAACAAGGTGTAGAGCTGGATGAACACAGCAGGCCAAGCAGCAGAGGAGAAGGAAAGCTGACGATAGTGTCTAGGCCCTAAACGTCAGCTTTCCTGCTCCTCTGATGCTGCTTGACGTGCTGTGTTCATCCAGCTCTACACCTTGTTATCTCAGATTCTCCAGCATCTGCAGTTCCTACTATCTCTCTCCATAGAATATTAGTTGAGTTTCTGGAATGAACAGTCTAGCGATAATACCACTAGGGCATCACCGCACTGAGTGGTTTATAGTATGTCATACCTAATGTGAAATATGAAGCGTGAACAGCATTAATATGCCGCTGGAAAGTAGTTTGAAATGATCAATTTCGGACAGTGAATTGGTGGAAGAATCCAAAGAGCCTAAAGTGATGTCCTCAACTTAGAAACATAGAAAATCGGAGAAGAGGAGTAGGCCATTTAGCCCTTTGAGCCTGCTCCATCATTCAATGTGATCATGGTTGCCCTGACCAGTTTCTCCCCATTTGACCCTTTAGTCTGAAAAAATTATATCTAACTCCTTCTTACAAACATTTGGTGTTTTGGCTTCAACTACTTTCTGCGGCACAGAATTCCACAGGCCCACCACCTTCTAGGTGAAGAAATTAGTCCTTATCTCAGTCTTAAATGTCCTACCCCGTATCCTTAAACCGTTACCCCTGGTTCTACACTCCCCGGTGATCAGGTATATCCCTATCTCATCCTGTCAGAATTTAATAGGTTTCTGTAAGATTCTCTCCCATTCTTCTGAAGTTCCTTTTCAAATATATTTTCACGAAATATCGCACTCACAAGTAGCTTCTGCTGATATGCTGTAATTTTCTTCCAGAAGGCAGATTCTTGCACTTCTGGTTCTTCAACTTTCTGTGCATGTTGCTGTCTTCTTCTTCGTCGACGGGACTTCTTTTCTGTATTTTTTTCCTCTTTTTCTCCATTCTCCCCTCTGTAATCCAGAAATCAAAATTGTCATTCAAATTGTCAAAATATTCCACAGTCCAAACTTCCATTGTGACATATGATACATGAGACATTTACAACTGCACACTTGTTGAATGGAGGAGTTTTTAAAATTCATTCATGGGATGTTGATGTTGCTGAACAGGCCAGTATTTAATGCCCAGAGGGCAGCTGAGAGTCGCTGTGTTTGAGAGTCACATGTAGGCCAGACGAGGTGAGGGTGATAGATTTCTTTCCCTAAACAGGATGAGTGAACCAGATGGGTTTCCCTCCAACAATTGCCAATGGCTTCATTATTCTTAATCCCAGATTTTTAGTGAATTCAAATTCCACCATCTGCTCAGGATATTACGATGGGTGCCTGGATCAATGGTCTACTGACAAAGCCACTAGGCCATTGCCTCCCCACTAGGCCATGGAGTTAAGGTCAAGTGTTGCCTTCATGTGAAGAAACATTAGTGAGTAAGGGATAATTGGACCTTGAGGTGAAGATGTAATTGAGTCACTGTTTCGAAATGATACATTCTATTTTACAATATTTTGTAGGTAAAATGTATATCAAAACATTGAACGATTTGGGGAACGGAAATGTAGAGCTGGTTTGAACATAACAGCTTATTGCCAGTGCAACTTGAGATGATGAAAAACCATGATATTAATCCACAGGGAGCCTCAGTTTAACAGTTCAACTTAAAGACAGCATCGTTGGCACCATAGCACATTCTCCCAGCACTGGAGTGTTAGTCTTCATTTTTGTGCTGAAGTCCCAGTTTGGTAACCTTGTAACTCAAAGTCAACAGTGCGATCAACAGGACTTCAACGGGCAATGTAGCTGCATCCAACCCCTCTTTGGAGAAAATGCTCCAACTTCATGTTCTTAAACTCACCGATTGTTCAAACAAATTGGATAGATCTTTGCTCCCACTATCTGGACAGTAATTTGGTGGCACCAAACCAAAAACTGGACAAGTTCCAATAGTGGGAGACTGATCAACCTGATTACCAAACCAATGGAGTTGAAGATTTGCGTCAATGTCCCATATGGCATAAAGATTATATATTTCATTTGCTGAAATCCCCTGTTTGAGCCCTCACTTCATCAAAGGAAATCAATAACAAAAGAATTCTGATTCATCAAATTACTCACTCGGCTTTCTCTGACTCAACTTTATGGTCTTCTTTTTCATTTGTCTCATCTTCCTTTGTTTTCTCCTCCTAGAATTACATTGGGAGTAAAATGATTCCAAAAACACAAGGTTTTGTTTTCCTTATTAAATCATATTTATGTGAATTTTAACCCCAGGAAAATTTATTGCATCACAATAACCAAAGGAGCGAAACATCAGTGAATGTAAACAACTGAACTGGATTGGATTAGGAGTCAGATCCTGATTGAGGAAAGGACATACGAAGAGGTATAAATGGGAGGATCAAGTTGGACGTCGCTGGGTCGATTAACTGGAACATAAGCAAGAATTTACAGCAGACACAGGCAGAACTGTGCAACTCTTGTTCATATTAATCTGCTCCAATGTCCATACAGCATTTCCTGTAATAGGGAGGCACATTAATTACATGCATTAGGCAGAAAAATATCCAATATCTTTGATGGTTTTAAACTTGTGAGGTAAAATCAGTGAGATGTTTTAAGTTTGGTTTCCACATAGACTCAAATAAAGTGGTATAAAATGACAAAATTAGAAATTATACTGGATTTATTCAGAAAAGTATTAATATGATGAATAGGAACAGTTAAAGAGGTCTCTGATTTAATGACATGGATGATCTGTAAAAATTCAAATAGGACAACGAGGAACCACATTGATACATATGGGCCAATTCAGCAGTCTCATCATTCCAGCCGAGTGCCACAGTCAAACCGAGTGCACAGTGGAGAAATGGAATGCTACGGCAAAATTTTTCAGATGGTGGGGAACACGCTGTCACACCTGATGGCTGCCCCATAGCTTTTTAAGCATTAATTGGCTAGGGATGAGCCTTCTTCCCCCAAATGTGTAGGACATTCCACCTCAGAGGCCTGTCAGCCATCAGACTGACCAACAGCTGTCTAGTCCCAGCAGCACCATCGGGAGTGGTAGCTGGTGCTGGGACTTAACCAAATCCCACAGAATGCAGATCCAAGTGCCCAGCGCGCAGTAAAGTCTGGAGGCTCTTACTGTGGCCTTTAATTGAGGCCCTTAAGCAGGCCATTAATTACCACTTAACAGCCGCTTCCTCAATTTTCATGCTGGCAGGTAAAGTTGAGGAGCTGAGAGTAAAAATGGGAAGTGATCCCGGTCAGGCTATTTCTTTAATTCATTCATGGGATGTTGTCCTCACTGGCTGGGGCAGCAACTATTGCTTGACTCAGGTCTCTCTTGAGTCTGCAGCAGGGAAATGCTTTCTTCAACAACCGCATTCCATGTGGTGTAGGCACACCATGGTGCAGTTAGGGATTTTTGGGATTTTGACCCTGTGACAGTGAAGGGATGGTGGTATACTTCCATGTCAGGGTGATGTGTGCTGTGGAGAGGAATTTGCCAGTTAGATGCCAGTGTGTGTGTTGCCATTCTCATTGTAGTGGTAGAGATTGCGGATTTGGAAAGTGTTGTCTAAGGTGACTTGGTAAGCTATTACAGTGCATCTTATAGATGGTACATATTGCTGCTATGCACGTTCATGATAGAGGGAACAAATATCAAGTGACAGATGGGGTGCCGAACAAGCAAGCTGCTTTGTCCAGGATGCTAATGAGCTTCTTGAGTGTTGTTGGAGCTGCACTTATCCAGCAAGTGCTGAGTATTCCATTACACTCTTGACTTATGCCTGGTAGATGATGGACAGGATTTGCAGAGTTAGAAGGCATATTATTCATTGCAGGATTCCTAGCTGTTAACCTGCTCTTGCAGCCACAGAATTTATACGGCTAGTCCACTTCTTTTTCTGGTTAATAGTAATCCCCTGGCAATCAGTGATGGTACTGCCATTGAATATCCAGGGACAATAATTGGATTTTCCCTTGTTGGAGATGGTCTTTCCTTGGCACTTGTGCAACACAAATGTTACTTGCCCCATGTCAGCACAAGCCTGGATATTGTCCAGTTCTTCTTGTGCTTGAACATGGACTGCTTTAATATCGAGGAGTCATCAACACTGTTGAACATTGTGTACTTATCACACAATTCAGACTTAATGATGGAGTAACAGTTATTGACGATGCAGTTCTTGGTGTTTAGGCCAAGGACACCACCCTGTGGAACATTTGTAATGATGTCCTTGGTCTGAGATGACTCCAACAGCCACAACGAGTTTCCTTTACACTAGGTATGAGTCCACCCAGTGGAGAGTTTCTCCCTGATTCCCATTCTCCAGTTTTGCTACTAGTCAAATGCTGCCTTGATATTAATGTTGATCATTCTCACATTCCCACTTTATCTTCATTTATTCACAGGATGTGGGCATCACTGGGTAGGCCAGGATTTATTGCACATCCATAATTGCTCAGAGTCGAGTTAAGAGTCAGCCATATTGTTGTGGATCTGGAGCCACATATAGTCCAGACCACATAAAGACAGCAATTTCCTTCCCTAAAGAGCATTAGTGAACCAGCGACAATCAACAATGGTTTCATGGTCATCATTAGAATTTTAATACCAGATTTTTATTGAATTGAAATTCCACTACCAACCATGGTGGGTTTTAAAGGCATGTCCCCAGAACATCACCCGGATCTCTGGATTTACAGTCTGGGAATAATCATCTCCCCTCTTGAGTCCAGCTCTATTGTCTCCGTCTGGATCAAGGCTGTAAAGATGTCAGGAACTGAGTGGGTCTGGTAGACCCAAACTAAGCATCCAAGGCAGCAAATTATTGTTGAGCAAGTGCTGCTTGAATTGAAGCACAATTGAATACCGCTTCTGTCACTTTGTTGATCTAGAATAGACTGATGGGACGGTAATTGGCTGGGTTGGATCTGCCCTGTTTTTTGTGTACTAGACATACCTGGGCAAAATTCCATCTTGCCAGATAGATGCCAGTGTTGTAACTGTACTGGGACAGCTTGGCTAAGCGTGTTGCTAGTTACGTAGCACAGTATTATTGCTGGAATGTTATTAAGGCCAACATCAGTACCCCGTGCCTTCAGTTGTTTCTTGGTATAATGTGGAGTGAATCAAATTAGCTGAATACTGGTATCTGTGATTCTTTTTTTTAATTCATTCACAGGATGAGGGCATTGCTGGCCAGGCAGCATTTATTGCCCAAAGGGCAGGTAAGAGTCAACCACATTGCTGTGGATCTGGAACCACATACAGGCCACATTAGGTAAGGATGGCAGTTATCTTCCGTAAAGGGCATTAGTGAACCAGATGGGTTTCTCCGATGATCGACAATGGATTCATGGTCATCATTAGACTCTTAATTCCAGATATTTATTGAATTCAAATTCCACCATGGCTGGATTCGAACCCAGGTTCCCAGGATATTATCTGGGTCTCTGGATTAACAGTCCAGCAATAATACCACTAGGCCATCGCCTCCCCTAAATTCTGGGGTCCTCAGGAGGAGATCAAAATTATTGATCCATTCAGCACGTCTCCCCAAAGGTTGCTGCAATTGCTTCAACCTTCTCTTTTGCATTGATGTGCTGAGCTCCCCATCATTGAGGATGGAGATATTCGTGCAGTGGCCATCTCCAGTGAGTTGTTTAATCATCCACCACCATTCATGACTGGATGTGGCAGGACTGCAGAGCTTGGATCTGATCCGTTGGTTGTGGGATCACTTGGTTCTGCCTATCACTTTCTGTTCATGATGTTTGGCTCACAAGTAGTTCTGTTTTGCAGGTTCAACAGGTTGACACCTCATTTTTAGGTCTGCCTATTGCTCCTCCATGGCATGCCTTCCTGCATACGTCATTGAGCCAGGATTGGGAAGGTGATGGGGTGCCTGCATCAACAACCTTCTTTCAACACTCAACTCTCTCTCTCTCCCACCCACCCCCCCAACAAGGTTCTCCCCCCTCGGGGTGCTCAATGTCTCCCAGCCACCTCTGCCCATCAGCCCTTCTATCAGCCTTACTCCCTTCCCTGCTGTCTTGGTCCTGATCTCCAGGCTTGCATTCTGGAACTGTCTATTGTCCGAGTTCTGGTTTTCCAGGTTTCTGCTGTGTAGCACGAGAGTTCACAAAACTGCAGCTACAACATTAACTAGCTTTCCAAATTTTGAGCATATGAGAAAAGGTGATAAGAATCACTGAGGTCACAATGCACCATTGAGCTAGAATTAATTATTTATGTGGTGTCATATCTTGTCATCATATGGTTTGGGAAAGGAAGCAGTTTTCATTCTGGAAAGAATGGTAAATAAACCCTCAGACGAAGGTGGGCAAGGAGACACGGGTCTTCCTGGCACAACAAGAAGCTGCCTGTTATCTTCATCCTCAAAGGGTTCAGATGGCTGATTGGCACAACTCAGATTGCCAGCCCCAAAAATAAGGATGCAAACATTGGTAGGTAGCAAGTGAAAGGGGAGAGAGAGAGGGGATCCAGAAGAACGAGCCATCAGCCTCTTGGGTGAAGACCAGGGCCTGCAAAATATCAGGGATAAACACAACACCTCTCCAAAATATTGGGGTCCAATTCAGAAGATTGAGGGGGGATCTTATAGAAACATATAAAATTATGAAGGGAATAGATAAGATAGAAGTAGAGAGGATGTTTCCACTGGCAGGTGAAGCTAGGACAAGAGGGCATAGCCTCAAGATTAGAGGGAGCAGATTTAGGACTGAACTGAGAAGGAATTTCTTCACCCAGAGGATTGTTAACCTATGGAATTCCTTGCCCAGTGAAGTAGTTGACGCTACTTCAGTAAACGTTTTTAAAGATAAGGTAGATTTTTTTTGAACAATAAAGGAATTAAGGGAGACGGTGAGAACACGGCTAAGTGGATCCGAGTCCACGAAAAGATCAGCCATGATCTTATTGAATGGCGGAGCAGGCTTGAAGGGCCGTACGGCCTACTCCTGCTCCTAGTTCTTATGTTCTTATGTTCACTGCCTCTGCTTCTCCATTCTACAGAACAGCTTCAGGATCGGTAAAGCATTCTCGTCTGTGATGGTTAGTATATCTTCTTTCTTTGTCTAATTTCATAATGCATCAGACATAAACTGCTGCTTCTTAACAAACTCAATAAAACATCTGCAAATCGCTTATGACAAGTCAACTTCCCCTTATTAGGTAAGTGTAACCATGTACATCCCCCCCACCCCAATCTAACACATCACAAGAGGATGGCTAGCATTTTGTGTTACCTGTTGGCTGCTTCGAAGTTCTGGAAGTGGAACAGTGAGGTAAGGTGGACTAATTAGATCCCTCACACCAGCGTTGGGATTGTGTGGTATTAGTTTGTATTGGCCTCCCTCACGTCGTAAGTCTAAACCAAAGATATCAGACAGGAAGTCACTCTCCTCGGTGATAGCCGTTAGGTCAGTCAAGTCTTCTGAAGGCAGGGTTGATTGTGTAACTTTCCCCTCTCCTTCTCCAAGTTCACCTCGTACCTCATCATGTGTTGGATCTGGCATGTTGGCTAAAAGTTCTGTAACTTTGATCTTCTTGGCTCCCTCAACAAGGCTGCCCCCCAAGAAAGTGCTATACATGATGCGGAAGAATCCACGGAAAACACTAAATACAAAATGGGAGAACCCAATCAATAAACTCCAATAGAAAGCAAACAAGGTCATAACCATGTCCTTCATTGTCATTTTTTTAATTTTCTTCATCTGTTTTTTGAGGCTTTTAGTTGTGAGCAACTTCATGAGAATCATCACATTATACCTGAGAGCCATTAAGGCAGATCTAATTGTTGTCATGGAGAAAAAGTTCATTTTGGGATCTTCTTCCTCCATTTTATCCTTTTGTGTCTCCTCTTTACTCACAGACCTCTCAGTGGAATCTGACTCCGAGATCTGTGCAGCTAACTGCATTTCAAAGATAGTGTCTTCACAGAAATTCACAAACAGTTCCATCTTTTCTTTCTCTCCTCCTTCATTCACAACGTCGAAGATGAATTGTCTCTTAGATTCCTTTACTTGTGGCTTCTCCCACTGTGTCCTGCTGGATTCACTGATCTCAAAGTAGACTCTCTCAATCCGTTTGGCACTTCCCATAATCTCTATACGGCCAAGAAAAGGCTGAAAATAGTTGAGAACACTCTCTGCCAACTCCAGGAAGGTCTGCAGGCGAGTATCATGGGGCATGTGCTCCGACAAGTTGGTCAGTAGCACTGCAACATTGAAACCAATGTCTTTTGCAGGTTCATGAAATCTTTCAACAAACTCTTCATAATCTAGCATCTCGTTCTCGTCAGTCTCTGCACAGGAGAGTAGGAATTCAGTTTCTGACTGTGTGTAGTGTTTATGACTCTCCATGGCCTTCTGGAAGTCCCTTTTGGTGATTAGACCTTTGCTATCAGGATCATATTCTTTGAATGCATCAGATGATGTGAGGTTCTTTAGCTTAAGGAACATGTCAAAGAATTTGAGGATCATTTCTACATTGTTTGAAGACTCTACCAACATGTCCACCATCTGCTTGCCAATAGTTCCATTGACGACATTACCTGAAGTAAATAGTTCATGTAAAATTACATTTGGGCCATTATCAATCCTTTATTATCAATGTTCCTTCACTTTTACTTTAAATGTCTGCTTTGCTTATTAGTGCATGATTTTATACAATAGAATCACAGAATCCCTACAGTGCAGAAAGAGGTCATTTGGCCCATCGTGTCTGCGCCAACCCTCCAAAGAGCCTTCCACCCAGACCCAGACCCCCTACTTTATCCCCGAACTCAGCATTTACAATGGCTAATTCACCTAGCCTGCACATGCCCGCACAACATGGGGCAATGTAGCATGGCTAATCCACCGAACCTGCACATCTTTGGACTGTGGGAGAAAACCGGAGCACCCAGAGGAAACTCACACAGACACAGGGGGCACATGCAAACTCCACACAGACAGTCACTCAAGGCTTGAATCAAGCCTGGGTCCCTGGCTCTGTGAGGCAGCAGTGCTAACCACTGAGCCACCATGCCATCCTTAAAACCCTGAGCGCGACCCCTATTTTGCACAAGAGTGTTAGTGACTTTGTATTCAAGTTCTTGATTGGGACTTGAACCTAGAAGCTTTTGAATCTGAGGCAGGACTGCTGCCAACTGAACCATGAGTGATCATTTAATTGGTTTGATCAAATCAGACTTGTTCTGATATCATGTATCAGTGCCTCGTATTTTCAAACCAAGGATTTTAACCCTCCCAATGCAATGTAAGAATGGGATATTTGAGAGGTTAAAACAGAGACATCTTCCTCGCTCCAGAACAGGGTTGTCCTTGTGTTTCAAGGTGGGGCTATATCTGCACTCTGTATGTGACAAACGACAACACCTTCCGGTCGCCAACCATTTTAACTCCCCCTCCCGCTCCCTGGTGAGATGCCCACGCTGGGCCTCCTCCAGTATCACAATGACATCACACACAAACTGGAGGAGCAACACCTCATATTCTGCCTTGGGAGCCTACAGCCTGATGGTCTAAACATGGAATTCACCAGTTTAAAATCTCCCCACTCCTGGCCTCATCCCATGTCCAACCCAGTCTCCTTAACCTCACACAACCTGCCCATCTTCTCTCCCACCTATCCGTACCACTGATCAATTCCCACAAATCCCTACCTACACTCACCTATCACCATACCACCTACGTTCCCCAGCCCCAACCCTCTCTATTTATTTCCCAGCTCTCTTGCCCCTCACCAAGAAGGGTCCCGATCCAAAATGTCAACTTTCCTGAGCCTCTGATGCTATCTGGCCTGCTGTGTTTCTCCAGCTTCACAATGTATTGCCACAGGTAAACAGGGTGGTTAGGAAGACATTTGGCACCTTGCCTTCATTGCTCAGACCATTAAGTATAGTATTAAATTAGAGAGGGTGCAGAAAAGATTTGCAAGGTTGTTACCGGGACTGGAAGGTTTCAATTATGAGGAGAGGCTGGGACATTTTTCACTGGAGCATAGGAGCTTGAGAGGTTTATAAAATCATGAAGGGCACAGATAAGGTGAATAGCAAAAGTCTTTTCCCTAGAGTTGGGGAATTCAAACTAAATGGCACAGGTCTAAGGTGAGAGGAGAAAGATTTAAAAAGGGCCTGAGGGGCAACTTTTTCACAAAAAGGGTGGTTCGTTATGTGGAATAAACTGCCAGAGGAAGTGGTAGATGCAGGTTCAGTTACAACATTTAAAAGGCATTTAGACATGGATAGGAAAGATTTAGAGGTATATGGGCCAAATTCAAGCAAATGGGACTAGTTTAATTTGGGAAACTTAGTCGGCATGGACAAATTGGTCCGAAGGGTTTGGTTCCGAACTGTACGAATCTATGACTTAATGACTCTATAACAGACAGAAATAAGAGCGCAAAATTAGTTAAGATTTTATTTATTTATTAAAATTATTTGTGTGTAATTTTAGTTCACAGACTCACCTTCCAGCATTGAAAGCAGCATAACGACCATATCCTTCTGAAGGTCCATCAACTCCTTCAGCAGCTCAATTTGGCTAGAATCCTAGAAATTGTAACATGCAGATACTGTGATAAATAATCTTAAGTTTTTAACTTTGTTTTATATTGTTGAATTTCTAGAATTGCAGTTGAATACTAAGGATCAATGCTGTGAAGAAACCATCGTAAAAAAGCAGTTTTTCTATGTATTGTCTACTCTGAATCAGCAGAGTACCATTCAGTCAACTTATAATATTTCTTATTCTTATAATATTTCTTTTCCTAAACTTAATTGTACTGCATTTCTTCCTGCTAAATTGTATGTTAGTTCTCCAGATTTTTTTTGTCCTTTAGGTGCCCGGAGATAGGCACAGGAATGGAGGCCGGAATAAATACCAAAGCCTTTCTTTATTCGGATACCTGCTTACTAACCTGGGACAGTTTCATTTGCATATGGGCAAACACGTGAAGAAAGCCAACCACTGCATCCCATAGTCTGCTATGTGCCAGACTTTGTTGATTCCCAGTGCAGGGGCCCTACAGAAATAAACAGACTTTAGCACAAAACTAGAATACTTACATTGTACTAGCTAACTAATAAGTCTTTTCAACCAGAATCCACATTTTGTGCAAGGATTTTGAATCATAAATGGCAACATTTTTTTCAGCTAATTTGCACTCTCACCTCTGAGTCAGATGGAGGTGATTTCAACTTCCACTTCAGGATATCTGTTCGTAATCAAGATTGATTCTCCAGTGGTAACAGAGGCAAGATAACTCACTTCCTACTCACTTCAAGCTATGTTAGAAATTTTTCTAGACTTTCTTATGTAAAGGTGATATTGATTTTTACTATTATAATCCTTTGTTGCGTAAGCAAAGAAGCTTTGGAGACAAAGGGGATGATTTAAACTTGAGATGCACAATGAACAAAGTGTAGGAGGAGGACAGAGTCCTTTGGCTGCCTGGTTGTTGTTTCTGGAGAGAGGCACAAGCCATTTTGAGGCTTTGGTCTTGTTTACTTACAGCTAGGAAGCTACTCCTTCAAAGAGCCAGGACAGATCTAATGTACCAAATGGCTTCCTTCTGTGTTATACGAGTAAGGGTTAAATTGAAATGAAACCCTATCCCTAAAAAGCCACTGATGCTAAGTTGACTGATAGCCAGAGACTTTTTCCTAGGGTGGAAGTAGCTTTTACGAGGGGACACAGTTTTAAAGTGAAAGGAGGTAGATATCGGGGAGACGTCAGAGGTAGGTTCTTTACTCAGAGAGTGATAGGGGCATGGAATGCATTCCCAGAGAGGGTAGTGGAGTCGGCCTCATTAGGAGCATTTAAGCAACTATTAGATAGGCATATGGATGATAGTATAAGGTAGCGGTGGAGGTTAGATAGATCTTAGGTTTAGGGTAAAAGTTCGGCACAACATTGTGGGCCGAAGGGCCTGTACTGTGCTGTACTGTTCTATGTTCTATGTAACATAAAACATTGAGATTGATAGATTACTCAACACTGTTTTAACATAAATGGACCTAATTTAAATAACTAGATTAGCCATGACCTATTAAATTAGGAGTAGATGTTTCAGGGGCTCAATGGCTCTTGCCAAACATAACAACAAACAAACCTGAAAAGGTTCAGAAAAGATTTACAAGGATGTTGCCAGGGTTGGAGGTTTGATCTTTAGGGAGAGGCTAATAAGCGTGGGGCTATTTTAATTGGAGAGCTGAGGCTGAGGGGTGACCATATAGAGGTTTATAAAATCATGGGGGACATAAATAGGGTGAATAGTCAATTCTTTTCTCCAGGGTAGGGGAGTCCAAAACTAGAGGGCATATGTTTAAGATGAGAGGGGAAAGACTTAAAAGGGACATATGGTGCAACTTTTTCACACAGAGGGTGGTGTGTGTATGGAATGAATTGCCAGAGGAAGTGGTGGAGGCTGGTACAATTACAACATTTAAAAGGCATCTGGATGGAGATATGAACAGGAAGGGTTTAGAGGCAAATGGGCCAAATGCAAGCAAATGGGACTAGATCAATTTGGAATATCAGGTTGGCATGGACGAGTTGGACCAAAGGGTCTGTTTCTGTGCTGTACATCTCTATGATTCTGTAAATTATTGGGGCTAACATGTTACTAGAAAATGATTTGGCAAACCATTCTGCTATATGGGTCAATAAAGGGAGCTACATTGAAATGTACTATAACATACATTCATGCATTATAATTTCCCAGGTTTTGCTACCAGCAACAAATGAACACACCACCATTCGCTGAACTGGCTGAAATATTTTATGGGTTTTTAAGTTATAAATTACTGTTAATCAGGAGTATGATTAGGACCTATGTAAACAAGGGAAGCAACTTTATCTCACCTCAATTAATCAGAGTGAAAGATCCCTACTGAGGTATGGGAGTGTTCTGAACTAGGATAGAATATTTAATTCAATGTAAAATTGTTAACAGAAAGATGTAAAGAAAAAGAAGATATGAAATTAAAGACAGCTTTAAGATATAGACAAAAGAAACAAACAAATATTTCAGACCAAATTTTCAAGTTTTTAATTTTCAAATAATCTCCAAAGATAATTAAAGTCCTGAGGAATGAGAGTCCCTGATTGTAGAATTCAAATCTCAGTACCTGCAAGATTGTTAGGCAGTAATTAAGACTTAAGACTGATCATGCCATTACACATACAATTGAATCCCATGGTTTTTATTCATGGTGAGTATTTATTAATTATAAATACCACAATTTCAAGTGCTCTATACATTTGAATGCGTAATCTCCTGGGCCAGGGTGAATTGGACAACTTAACTGTACACATCCAAAAACTGACAAATCATATCTGAGCTAATTCTTAAAAAAAAACCTCACAATTACATTTTAATACAAACTCTGGGCTATTATGGTGATAATGAGATAAAGCTAATAAATCTGATCTTTTCACCAAACAGGCTTAACTTGAGAGTAACGATGGCTCTTATTTTTGATTTTACCTGAATGTACTCAGTAAGTGTGTTGAACACTTGCTTTGCCACATTGATTGCCTTCGAGAAATTGCGCTGTCCCTGTTCATCAATGATGTCCTTCCCAGAATAAAACCAGTAGAAGTCACTGATTGATTCCTGGAAGCAAAACAAAAGACAGTGGTCATAATTATGGACATCCAGTGGATAGTATCTTAGCAGATACAAATGGTTTTCCAATATCTAAAGAGTTTAATGTGCACTGAAAATGCGAGATTGTGTTTTAAATCAGCGTTCACAGTTCTTTCCAGTATTTTAGCATTCTCATAGGAATGTGCAATTTTGTTCAATATACCATTTTGTACGAATGCTGCGTGATAGTTATTGTACAACTGAGAAGTTAATCAGAATAAACTGAAAACAATACTGCTCAATTACTTCATAAATTTCTGACAATCCACTTAACATGTTTGTTCCTTCAAGGACTGGATAATCCCCTCATATTTTCTGCTAATCAACTGAGGAAAAAAATGTGTCTAGCCTACACAGATGGAACAGTATTACTTTGATGCAATAGCACTCTGCTTTTTACTGAGTTGCTTCAAAACAACATGCAATGAAATGCAGTGAAATGTTAAAAAAAGGTCGTAAAAGTGCAGGTAATATACAAAGATCCAATAACATCTAAAGGAAGACCATATACGACAATAGTTTGCATAAAGATCATCAATTCAGACAGGAGATCACTGTTCACATTTAATAATCTTTTACTTGTTGTATGTACGAGTCCAGCATTCTCCACATTTATCCTTATTGCATAAATCTGCTATATCAGGAATACCTCATCGACTCAACTGCATCTTCCTCAGGGCTCTGGAACACCAAACCCCAACTTTTGTTCCTTGCAACTTGAATATCTGACTTCACATGACAACTTTCAGTCTTTTTACACTGGAGTCAGGTTTGCAGTGCAGTTGCAAGGCATGCTAGAGTGCAAGAGGAGTGTGGGTGCAGTAGCGGGCAGGTTAGAATGCTCACTTTCGTTCTCCAACATAGTATCCCAGTTTCCAACAGGATTTAAGTGGTCCTTAAACCCATGCCAGCCGATTACCTTGTGAAAACAAACCAGAAACCACATCAAAGGAACAATATGTTATTGCAACTTCTTGAAATTGTCATTCATTCTCAGATGAATTGTGCTAAAACTCATTAGTGCCTGAAACTCAGCCAAGTATTCATATTGGTCGCTGCTGTCCAAACAGCAGGCTACTCTCTAGGAAGGAAACAGCAGTAGGGGTTCACTTTAATTTCCCACCAAAGTGCTTGACATTTAAAGTAAGGGATCATCTGGTTAGTTTTGTTTTGTCAAAACAATGTTTTTAATCCATTGGACTCAATAAAATTACATTAGAAATGATGACTGCACAAGCTGCCAAGACACTTTGTAACATTTTTCACTGCATTTTATAATGACTATACATTCTAACACACATGAACAAACACAAAAGACTGGTCAATGCAAGTGACAATTTATCTTTAAAGGACATATCTCTATGATGAATCACTTCATTAAAGCACATCTACATTATAATGCAGCACCTCTCAATGACATGTTAAAATGTGAACATACTTTATACTTATCTTCCAGAATGTTTTAGATTGCTCAGCAGTCTTTCCATTTGCTTCATGAACTCTCAAACCTGTTTTGCTTTCAGTGGACTTTCAAACCCCACACCACCAGAGTAAAATGTTGTCTGAGAGGAATTCTGATTTTCGTCTCCTACTTAAAGTGAGGATCCCGACCTCAGCAGAGATATTGGTGACCCGCAGAAAAACCAGAGGAAAATGGCATGTGGTCAGAATGCAGAGGAAAATCGTATTTCCTCTAAAAAAAAGCTTAAGATTGGCCAGTTGCACATTGAAACATTTCTTTACTGTTGTAACTTATTACTTAACACTGTGGATTAGTTTAAAAAATCACAAAGTAGGCAAGTATTCTCAACTAGGATAACAAGGTGTAGAGCTGGATGAACACAGCAGGCCAACCAGCATCAGAGGAGCAGGAAAGCTGACGTTTCGGGCCGAGACCCTTCTTCAGAAATGGGGGAGGGGAAGGGGTTCTGAAATAAATAGGGAGAGAGGGGGAGGCGGCTAGAAGACGGATAAAGGAGAAGATAGGTGGAGAGGAGACAGGCAGGTTAAAGAGGCGGGGATGGAGCCAGTAAAGGTGAGAGTAGGTGGGGAGATAGGGAGGGGATAGGTCAGTCCAGGGAGGACAGACAAGTCAAGGGGGTGGGATGAGGCTAGTAGGTAGGAGATGGGGGTGGGGCTTGAGGTGGGAGGAGTGGATAGGTGGGAGGAAGGACAGGTTAGGGAGGTGGGGACAAGCTGGGCTGGTTTTGGGATGCGGTTGGGGGAAGGGAGATTTTGAAGCTTGTGAAGTCCACATTGATACCATTGGGCTGCAGGCTTCCCAAGCGAAATATGAGGCGCTGTTCGTGCAACCTTCGGGTGGCATCGTTGTGGCACTGCAGAAGGCCCAGGATGGACATGTCGTCTGAGGAATGGGAGGGGAGTTGAAATGGTTCGCGACTGGGAGGTGCAGTTGTTTAGTGCGAACCAAGCGTAGGTGTTCGGCAAAGCGGTCCCCAAGCCTCCGCTTGGTTTCCCCGATGTAGAGGAGGCCACAATGGGAACAGCGGATACACTATACCACATTCGCAGATGTGCAGGTGAACATCTGCTTGCTGTGGAAAGTCTTCTTGGAGCCTGGGATGGGGGTGAGGGGGGAGGTGTAGGGGCAGGTGTAGCACTTCCTGCGGTTGCAGGGAAAAGTGCCAGGTGTGGTGGGGCTGGAGGGGAGTGTGGAGCGGACAAGGGACTCACGGAGAAAGTGGTCCCTCCGGAAAGCAGATAAGGGTGGGGAGGGAAAAATGTCTTTGGTGGTGGGGTCGGATTGCAGATGGCGGAAGTGTCGGAGGATGATGCGTTGGATCTGGAGGTTGGTGGGGTGGTACGTGAGGACGAGGGGTATTTTGTTTTGGTTGTTATTGCGGGGAGGGGGTGTGAGGGATGAGTTGCGGGAAATGCGGGAGACACGGTCGAGGGTGTTCTCGACCACTGAGGGGGGAAGTTGCGGTCCTTAAAAAACGAGGACATCTGAGATGTTCGGGAGTCGAATGCCTCATCCTGGGAGCAGATGCAGCGGAGGCGAAGGAATTGGGAATAGGGGATGGCATTTTTGCAGGAAGGTGGGTGGGAGGAGGTGTATTCTAGATAGCTGTGGGAGTCGGTGGGCTCGAAATGGATATCGGTTTCCAGGTGGTTGCCAGAGATGGAAACAGAGAGGTCAAGAAAGGAGAGAGAGGTATCAGAGATGGTCCAGGTGAACTTAAGGTT